TCGCGAAAGTGGTGCGCCCACTCTTCTCGTGGAGCGGACTACTTTAAGCTCGTGGGGTGCACTAATTTAGGAAGGCGTCCACCAAGTGAACTGCATTTGTCATGAGCGGGGTGTGCCCTAAACTTTAAAAAACACGGCTAAGGTGCGTTCCCCTGCTGACACTTTGAAACATCCCTTGGGTGTCATTGTTGTTAAGGAGTAGCACATTGAGCCGGTTCATCGTAGATGGACTAACCAGCAAGGTTGCAGTGATTCCTGCCCCTTCACTACGTACCGAAACATCGCTCAAAACTACCAAATGTTTCGGAACCCTCTTCATATGCTCTCAAGTCCAGCTAAATGTCTTTCTTCTTTCTTTCTTTCTTTCACTATTCAAACCTCTTGCTTTCAGAAGGACGATTTGTGTCAAGTGGTACAGGGTACTCCGAAATTCCAAGCGCCTGAGCTAGTGTCCGGGAATACCGAGTGTTATAGGTGAGTGCAGCCGTCTGGGAGATCGTACCATCACATTTGAGCGGCTATACTGTCATTCGACGTGTGACTACTTAGTTATCTAGTTTAATTTTGATTCAGCGGATTTGCGTCGGATTTATGGTCGTGTGGTGTTACGCTGTACAATATGATCTCAGGATTGTACCCTTTCGAAGGAGCGGTAAGCATGAGAAGACCCGTATTTATACCGTTTTTTCTGGGGCATAAGACGCGTCTGTTTGGAAAATCGCTGAGACCACGTGGACGTTTTCTCAACGCAGTACTTTGATGTTCTGTTTGGTTTCCAACGGACGGAGGTGGTGTAGGGGGAAGTAGCCCGAACCTTAATGGGATATATATCATTGATATAGATACGAACAAAAGAGCTGCAAAAAGAAAGCGAGAAAAAATTGTTCCCCGCCTTTTCTCCGTGCGAAACATTCGCGGTGTTCGAGGCAAAGGTGCGTCTTCATACGCTGGGAAATGGGGTGATTACTTACTTCGGAATTCATTTAGAAGCTGTGACTAACTAAGAAGTTTTGTCACAGGTGATTATGCGTCTTTTCGACAACATTGCCCATGGCGAGTTAGTAATGCCGACGAATGTGGAGCTCAACAAAGATTTAGTAGTGTGAGTCCATTTCTATCCATTTAGTTATTCACGCGCTAGTAAGTAAGTTAATAAGTAATTCGTCATGGCGCTGGTTGGGCGGTGGTACAGTGGCAAGTAGCAGCTGTTTAGGAAGTAAGGAGTTGGTAAGTAAAATCCCATATGGGAACACGTCTCGACCAACCAGGTCTCGCGCGCAGTGACTTTTTAGAAGACATTACGGGAAGCATGAAAACTCGGATTTCATCGGCTTCACTTACCTACATGAGAGATGTCAACACTGAATTGTAATGTATTATATATTATTGATATTATAATTAATTATAACTTTTAGTTGTGATAGTGGCGCTGGGTTGTGTCCGATTCTCAGTGTGATATGAAATCTGCGATGCCGTTGTTCATGTAACAAGGTTACAACATCACAAAATTGCCATCACATCAAAAACTTAGCGGTCTTAGCCATGGACAAATTGTTATTATTTTTATTTTATTGCTTAATACAGGGTGCGCCACCTGGTGCCTTCCGTTCGCTGCGGATAAAGGGGCGTGTCAGGCGGTACGGCTTTGGTGCGGCGTGAAACCCATTCTCCACCGGTGGTTGAAGCGGGTGTGCGATAATAGTAGGTGGAAAACGACTGATACGAACGCTGTGATACAGTGTTGTCGTTTGCAGAAAAAAGAAATGGACAGGGAGGTTCTGCGCCAAACCCATACCCCCATCATCCGCACCGAAGGCAGCGTTCAGTCTTCGCGACGGCAGCGCTTCGGCCGCGCGTTCGGCGCGATTGATGCGCATGCTTTCTACTGTATTGATCGCATCAAAGGCGCGATCGAAGCGCTGCCGCCGCGAAGTCTGAACGCTGCCGAACAACACTGTAGCAAGCTTCAGATAGTGCCTTCCATAGACTTGACCTGAACAACTGGATTAGATTTGAGATGTATTTAGTCTATTCCCTCTTATTCACCAAAATGTTTTGTCTCAACTGAGAAGCAGCTAACGCTGTTGTGTTTCGTTAGTTGATCCCTGAATCACTAAGGACGTATGTTGTTGGCGCATTATCTATAATTATGTTTCCATCATGGCTCCGGCTATGAGCAAAATATCAACATCTTGGGAGCATTATTCGGTAAAAACATCCATTATTCATTCGGCACTAGCATAATCTCTTCGCACTTGGGTGATGTATGCAGTCTCATTAGCTTATCGCATATTCATTCTGTAGATTAGGAGCTCAGAGAGACAGCCGGGTTGGTTTAGAAGATAGCTGGCTTGTAATCGGACATTAAGTTCTCCCTGCGGTTGCTGTAGAACCTTTTCCAGGCGATAATCCATGATAAGAAAGGAAGCTGGGCTCGTTTGGCTTGGGGAGGCATTCTGCACTTCGCTAGTTTCTTTTGCTAGATCCTGCTTAATTACTGTTTCATCTGGAAGGGCCTGTCATGTGCCGCTTTACCAGCAAAATGCCCCACCTAGCCGAACAGCATGAAATGTTGTTTTTTTTTCATAGAGAAAGTACCACCTGTATGTTTAAGGTTGTTGAAAGGACTGTTAACCAAAGACGCCAAGAAACGTTACACGATCGAATGTGTGAAGCACAATGCATGGCACGCTCGGCCTCGTTCAAAGGTATGTATCTACTTTTCATTCAATGACATATGGCACGATAATTTGGTACTCGGTCAAAAATGTTATGAGTGCTTAGTGGAGAAATGGCGAAAACGCGAAGTGAAACATTCAAAAACCTGCAGAAAAGCTTTGTTCTACACGACTCAGAAAGCGATTTCGGACGAGTTTCCCGTTGGCATCGTGCCAGGAACCGCTACGGCAGATGCGGCTACACGTATGTACTGCAGCATCGTGGCCCTTTGGTATTAATCCCTTCGCTTCATACAGTACTTTGGAAAAGAAGCGGTACGAGCTGCAGCCTTGGTCGGGCGGGCGCAATGAGCGTCCGGTTCTGTATGCTGCAGCTTGATAGGGCGAGAGGGTGCCACGCAGCGCCTGCTACCCGTCACCCGGAACAAAGTTTCCCTTTTTTCTGGTCTTTCCTTTTTTCATTCTATGTGACGGGAGAGGCCATAACCTGCTAGTACGGTCACTAGCTCGCCGATCTGCATCATTTTTGAAAAGTGGGCGGGGCTTCTACAAAGTGGGCGGAGCTTCCATTAGTGGGCGGGGCCGCTTGTCACAGCCTAAAAAGTGAAAATTTTTAAGAAAAATCATATTCGCGAAAAAGGAAAGTGGGCGTGGTCAGAGGGGCGGGGCCTAGTGTGCTAGTGTGTGAATGCATGCCTATGTCGTGTGAAGATTGAAATGTGAAAAACACGTCAAAAAAGTTATAGAAATTCAGAGCTTACGTCACTTGATTGTGAAGTGGGCGGAGTCGGACTTGCATCGGTACCAATCCTTTTCAGGCTGTGTGCGCAACTAGCAAAAGTTTGAAAAAAGTCGGTTAAAGCCGACTTCATAAAACATTTTGGAAAACCGTGAATATAGTTATCAACTGCCTATTGTAAGGGTTGTGTCCGATTTGATTCGAAAGGTTTCCGATTTGGTTTTGAAAACGGTTGTCCTGATTTTGGTTTGAAAACGTGTCCGATTTGGTTTTGCAAAGTGTCCCGATTTACAAGTGAAAAAATGGTTAATAACCTATTTTAATTATGAAGCATAGGTGCTGATATAGCGACACAAATTGGTTGGCGCGAACGCCGAAATAGGGCGCCGTTAGGAAACAAGTTGTTGAGGCATCAGCTGCCACAACTAACAAGTTTGCGTTGATGCTTGTGTGTTAGTTGTGATTGAGCAGCACTGGCATTGTAAATTACAGGGACTGCGAAGAAGCGAATGCGCTATGTAAATCACTCTTCACGGAAATACTTGGACCAGCATGCAGATGCTATGAAGCTCACCATACAGAACGGAGTAACAGGTCGCCTCGAATGAGCTTTCCTAGAAAGCCGCTACTGTACAAGCATAAATGCGCGACCTTAGCAAGAGCTACCGGAGACTAATAAAGAAAATAAGAATATCGATAGTTATGAGAATCACGATATTCGATCCCTATCAACTCAGGGATTACTGATAAAACTTACAAAATTTTACAGCTTCTCTCTTTTCATCAAACATGTACTGAATTGAGTCAATTTCTATGTTCTACTGGACCAACAATAGCTTTAAAAAAACTGTGCAGAGATATGTAGAATAAGATTGAATGTTGAAGGTACCTTCATGCAATGAGAGTTCTAAACGCGGTTCCGTCCAACGCCCACTCACTGTTTACCCAGCACTGGAGGAACGATTTGGACGGATACCTTCAGATCGGATTATGACAGAGGGTGAACTAGACGGTGAGTGAAATTCCATGATCTTCTGATTTTCTTGTGGATGTAAGGCTGCCAAACATCTCAAGATATGTGGAGACTTGTAGGCCAAAATCGTTGCTGAACAATAGCTGCCTATACGTGTACTGGCGATGCTGTGGTCGGAATTTCCAGGGTTTAGCGTCACTTCCAAAGCCAGTTCTGTGAATTAGGCGTTGCAGGCAGTGTGACTACGTGGCATTCGCACCGGGACCCAATCCACTCAACGGCGGCGCGTCGACTTTCTCAGCTCTCTCTCTCTCTCTCTCACTCTGTATCTCTCTCTCGCTATCCGTTCGCTCGTGTCTAATCGATTAGCTCTCTATGTGCCCGGGAGGCGGTCGTTTGGCGCGACTCTATTGCAATTGACGTGTTTTGACAGGTATGCTAAGTCCCTACCAAGTTGGGTAACTTATATGAATCACTAGACTATGAGGCTTTCGTAATTTGTGGTCCGCCAAAAACCGTCAGTGTGGGCTACAGTGCCCATGGTTCTCAGCTTTCTTCTAATGATTACTCAGGGGGGGGGGGAAACTGTTTTAGAACTATGGTCGAGTTGTTTCATCTGGAACACTTCACCTTACACGTTTTGACGGGGAGGTGATAGGAAAATCGCGCCAAACGACATACACCCCTATGTGCCTATTTTTGTCTAGTCAGCTAGCTAAGGAATCGACATTCGCAGCAGGACTTATCTGATGAGATCGGCAGTTCTGCGTTGTTCCAGGTCTACTTGTTAGAGAATACCCTCCTAGTTCGTGCATGTGCAACTAACGACCGACACCCGATGGCCGCTGAATACAGAATGTTGTATGCGATAACTAGCCTTTACCCTTTTCTTTTCCATTCACCATGCAATCCTCAAATCTATGCTGTGGCAGGAACCAAGACTGTACTGTAATCAGGGCAGGTTGGCACTATTAAAGGCACGTTTCCGCTATAAAAAAGGCTGGAACCTCATAAAGGTGCATGATGATCAAGCAGGCAACAGTAGAGGATATGCTGCTTTCAAAAGCTGAAAAATAGCAAGCATTACTGCCCCAGTTTTCCGAAAACAGGCCGGGTCTTGATCGACTTTTCTACAAGGGCAGATTTGGCTGAAGTTGGGTTCTAGAGGTAATTTGGACCTCCTGAACACGAATATCACCATCAACTTTTGGCCTGGAAAGATGCTGCACCCCCGCGGCCACAGGCGCCGGCGCCAAAAAACCTAAATCACCGCATTCGCTGAAAACTTGTTTGTATACGGAGGTAATTTGACATCTTGATTACAAATATCGCATTCATTTTGGCGCTGGCGCTGATGGAACGATGACGCTTAATCATCTGCCCTCTGCTAAGGCTGAGCCTGACCTGAAGGAAATCACTCTTTCTCCCAGGCTCGGTCTTAGAAAAGCGCTAAATGGCGCTGGCGTCGAAAAATAAATGTCATATTAGTGGTCAGGGCATCAGACAACCCCATTATGCAGGTCTTTATCGATTTCGGTAAAAAAAGGTATGGCGCTAAATTAGCGTCTAATGGCGACATGGTCGAAAACTATTTCGGGTCGTGATCAGTACATCAAATAATCCTGCTATGCAAATTTACACCGAATGTGGTGAGAAGGGTGACGGCGCCAAAACTAGCGCCAGTGGCGCCGAAATTGAGTGCTATATTCGTGATCAGGACACCGAATTACCTTTGTGGGCTAAGTTTCAGCGAAAAATTTTTTGGCTCTTGGGGTAGTGATATTTGATTAGCGGTGAGAAGGCGTGGCGGCGCC